AAAAATAAAAGTATTTGAACTTAAGGATTGGGTTGTAGTGGAAATATAAACTCATCAGTATTATAATTATAACGGTCAGGTTTGCTTACGTTGCTTTTTATGAAGAGATCCTTCTGACTTGTAGTTAATAAATAGCCAGAAAAAACTATATCGGAGGATCAGTTTTAACTCGAAGAATAAGTAAATAAAATTTTTTTTACGCATACTATTGGATAAAAATTAAGGTTTACATATGACGAAAAAACCAGAAATTTCAGTTTTTACTAATTGGTCTGTAACACGGGCAAATTTGTCTGCATACATGTGAAAGTCTACAGACGAATAGTAAAAAAGTGAACGACAAGCTGCAAATTTAATTAGTAAATCCCTGATTTCCGGAACTGATAAAGATAAATGCTGCCCCTATTCCGGAATGGTTAATTTTTCGCAAAATTATTCATGCGGGATCTATCTGATTTTTTTTATAAATACCCTGCCTTTATTCTCCAGTTCACCCTTTCGATATGATCTGCATATACCAAAGACAATGAAGGATTTTACATCGAACTGCGCCACGAACGAAAAAGTTGAAGAGTTAGAACGAAGTCAACCGTTAATGATGGGACTTAGTTAGCATATATTAACTTGTAGATACACTCTATAAAGTAGTTTATTCTTATTATTTATAACATTTATACCTTTTGTAATGATTATTAGCGTTAGTGAATTTTTTTTTAATAAATAATATTACTCTACTTTTACGCGAAGCGCCTTACGACAAAAAAAAATTATATTAGTATTCATTGCTTAACATATGGGGTTATGGGAATGTAAAACATATAAAGGGCTATTTCTAGGGAAAAGCCTTGGCACTTTTTTTCTCCCAGAAGTGAAAAAATAAAAATTTAACATTTTTCGCATAAATCTAAGATAAACAATCAACCTAACACAATGTTCTCAATTCTGATATTTTTTTCATCGCACTCTTCGGCTTCTCAATTGTAACTTTCGAGATGCTAACCGAGGTGTCCTAACAGTGGATGATCCATAACACGTTTTCGGGAAACGTAAACATTTATTTAAGCTTTGCCGTTGCTATCACTTTTTTCGTAAATATCAAACAGGATCACGAGATAATAATCTCGAATGAACCATATTGACATTAAATAATGAAATTCAAAGAATGCGTACGGAGAAGTGATGAAAATATAAGAAATGACGCCATGTCACGTGACTATAATTCAATGTATGTACTTATCTGCGCCTCATTTATTTATAACCGATTTTCTTCTACAAGTCGTATATCCGAAGGACAAAATTCTGAATACTCTGAAGAGATTGAAACTCATTGGGATGAGTCTACAGCTCCTTTTGACCATAGGAGAAAAAAAGAAAGTCGTTCCCGAATGCAAATGAATATTCTCAAACGAAACCAAACTTAGTCCTAGCACGCTAGCTAGTTTCTATCAAAAAGTTCCACGTAAGACTACAATGGATAAAATAGTAGAATGAATTGAGAAGGAGGAAAATAAGAAAACAGTTAGTTTTAGCAGTAATAATAGTAGCGGTAGTAATAATTTCAGTGGGGGTAGTAGTACGAAATAAAAATGATGCAGGGACTCCCATTTTATGGCCTAGGATCCAAGAACTCCTCCTTGATAGCATCATATTGTTTTCGCTTGCAATCTCTACAATTTCTCTAACTTCTCCATATTTTTTATAGCCGGAAAGGCATTTTTTATATTTCTTAGGCTTTATCGTTATCTAAATTTCGATCGATAAAAGGGTTTTTTATTTTTTAAAAATAAATGTATTATTGATAAAGTTTTTTTCCTATCCTATCGGACTAATGTTTTTAAGCTTTAGACGACCCCCTTATAAAGAAACTCCAATCAGAATTTTTTTGTTGATTAGCTATATCTGATGCCTTATAAAGAAATTTCAATCGGCATTTTTTGTTGATATCATGCCTATAATGTTTACAAAATTATTTTTTAATTGATCACTAAACTAAAAAATTCGGTTGTTGATATAAATTTGGTATTTTTAAAAGTTTATCTAATTTTTCATTTAAAAGTATATTTATAGCATAATCTATTTTTAAGTAAAGTAATATACAAAATAATTTTTTTATTAAGAATGAAAAAAAAAATCCGCATAAACTTTTTAGCAAAATCTTTTCATACACATGAAGAAGAACTAAATAGTTTTTTTTTTTTTATAAAAAAATCTTTATATAAAGACAGAAAGTATTAAAAAAAAAAATTACTTTGGTAGAATTCTTCTCTTTTCTCATTTTCTAGTACAATTCTTCTTTTATACAAATCAATCACGAAATAATAATAAAAATGGTTGCTTCAAGCTTCATTAAAATATTTTCTATTTTTGTACTAGCTGCTCTTTCAGTCTCGGCTCAAGGAGATTGTCCCTCAATTCAAGCCGAAGACAATAACACTGAAAAAAAGAGATTTATCGTTATACTTGATAAAGAAGTCAAGAATGCTGTCAAAGATCATTATGAAACGTTGAAAGGATGTTATAATACACGTGTTCAAAACATCATTAATGTTGATGAAAGTGATATTACCGAGTTTGATCAAAATACTATTAGGGATTTTTCTGTCGATGGATCTATACAAGGATATACTTCATATTTTACACCTGAATTTGCAAACGCAGTTGAAAAAATGAAAAATGTTTTAATTGTTGAAGAGGAAAGTGATATTAAAGAGGATGCCCCTCAACATTTTAATAAACGTTATTCTATAAATAGACGTACAGAAGACGATCATCCGACACCAAACGTTGATCGTATTGATCAAGCTAAACGACCACTGGACGGAAAATTTATTTACCCTGATTCAGCTGGAAAAGGTGTAAATATTTACATCATTGACTCTGGTATTTATCTTGAACATGATGAATTTGGTGGTCGTGCCAAATTTGGACGTTCTTTCTGTAAAGGTTGCAGTAAGGAATTTATGTCCTACCATGGTACTTTTGTTGCTAGTGTTGCTGCTGGAAGAACTGTAGGGGTAGCAAGAAAAGCCAATCTTATTGATGTTAGAGTTTTCAATGAAAAAACTCAAGGTAAAACTTCCGATATGATTGAAGCTTTATCTTATATAATTGATCAACATAAAAATGGTAAAAACAAGAATTCAGTTGTAAACATGTCTATAAGAGTTGTTCCTGTATCACGAGCTTTACTTCATGCTGTCAAAGAAGTTACTGATGCTGGTATTCACGTGGCTGTTTCTGCTGGTAATGAATCTAAAGAGTCTTGTAAACAATCACCTGCAGCTGCACCTTCAGCTATTACAGTAGGTGCTACCGATTTTAAAAATGATTCAATTACAGATTTCTCAAACTTTGGAAAATGTGTTGACATTTTCGCTCCAGGTTTAAATATTACAGGTGCTGGTCTTGATAGCAAACATGATTATTTAAAAGGTTATTGGGGTACCTCTTTTTCTTCCCCACTTGTTGCTGGTACATTGGCTCTTTTAATTTCCAAGAATGGTAATAAACCACCAGCTGAATTAACAAAAGATCTTATTAATTTATCAACAAAAGGAGTTGTTATTGGTATTAAAGATAAAAAGGGTACTCCAAACACCTTTTTACGTACTCCAGCTTCATAAATAGATTATTTTTAAATTAGACTTAATTAACTTAATTATTTGGATTCTTCTTTAATTTTCCTATACATTCTTAATGCAATTTTTGTTGTTTATCTATTTTATTATTATGTCATGATGCGTATTAAATAAACTCCGATCAGCAATTTTTAATTATTTAAGCGTGCCTACGTATGCTATCACGAGCCTTTTCAAAATTTGTCCCTCCCAGTTTTTCATTTTTACGATATATCCCGGCACTCTTATCATTGCCAATTGCATACGTTTCAAATACAAATAATGGGACTCAGACGGATAATATTACATGCAGAAATAAATGACCGGGTTAGATATGAGCTTATTATACTGCAAAAGCAATTGTTCAAATATAATAAAGAAACCTTTGGCCAATTTATGTAAAATCTGACTAGGGAACATGAGAAATGAATTAAGGATAATAATCAGCTGCACTATGAGATGATTAAAATAAAGGCGCAAGTGCATAAGATGGAAAAAGTTGTTACTTCCATAAAAGCATCCTCTCAATCTAAGATCTAACTTCTGATCCAATTCTGTGTAAATTTGAATCATGTTATTCTTTGATATAAGTTAATAAATAAATATTATAAACCGAAAAAATGCTAAAAAATTGATAAATTTACTATAAATCATTAATTTGCTAATAATTATACTAGGAGAAACTATTACTATCATTTTAGATGAGATTTATAATAAATCTATACCTAAACCCATCAATATTCATTCTAGGTTTGATTTGAACTATGTTATTACCTATAAAACAAAATTTTATTATTATAACTACAGTTCTCGAAAAAAGTAATCGGAATTACAAAAAATGTAATAAATAAAAAATTAGTGATTGAAATTACTTTAAATTTTAAAGATTT